GACTGAGTTTCGCTCTTTTTGCCCAGGCTGGAGTGCAATGGCGTGATCTCGGCTCACTGGAACCTCCGCCTCGGAGGTTCAAGCAGAGAATTCTCCTGCCTCAGCCTACTGAGTAGCTGGGATTACAGGCATGTGCTACCATACCCAGCTACTTTTGTAATTTTAATAGAGACAGGGTTTCTCCATGTTGGTCAGGCTGGTCTCAAACTCCCGACCTCAAGTGATCCACCTGCCTCGGTCTCCCAAAGTGCTGGGATTACAGGTGTAAGCCACCACGCCTGGTCCATTTTTTAAAAGAGGTTGAATCAGATTACATCTAGAGTCTCTTCCAATTCCAACTTCTAACTTCAAACATCTTTTAACTGTTATAATTCCTACTCTATAGTAGTAATTAAAATGTTATTACCCTCTTATTCTCATCCTATCTTCCTTTATATATATATTACCTTACAAGAATATAATTTTGTAAAGGGTTTGCTTAATAATCCCATGGGCCTATAAGGTAATGGTGTAGAAACTCTAATCCTGAAACCATATCTAGCTCTTCACTAAATTTCAAATATAAACGCTAAAACAAGTATGTCATTTGTGCCTACAGTTGCAAATAAAATGCAACACAGCATTAAAATCCTTAATGAAATATTTAAATGGCATAAAATATTTATTTGTTCAAGAACATCTGTATGAGTACTCTTACTATATCATCCTCTTTCCATCTATCCTATCCCTTCATCTATTTTCACCTTAACCTATTCTATAGTCTTACATTTTGACAATTTTAATATATGTTTAAAAAATACTTTGAGAAGAACAAAAGTAAAGGTAAACTTTAACAATCACATTTATTTTTAAACGAGTTGATGGAAATTCTCATATTTCTCTCCAAATAAATCACACAAACTCTTGCTTATGATGCCTAGCCCCAATGGAATTTTTATTCCATGTCGGCCATTAGGCCTAATAAAATAATGTTTTCCATTAATAAATAAAAAACAAACCAGATTAAAACAGGATATACAACCCCAACAAGAGACTAACAGAAGAGTCGCATTAGTTTTATGGCCTCGTTATTAATTAAATTCAAATATATATTTTGTTCTTTAACCTACAATGAATAGAAGTAAAATTTTAGTATTTTTTTTTGCTTCACAAAGATAAAGGTCAACTCACTCTAAAATATCTTACAGGCCAGGTGCAGTGGCTCACAACTGTAACCTCAGCACTTTGGGAGGCCAAAGTGGGTGAATCACCTAAGATCAGGAGTTCAAGACCAGCCTTGCCAACATGGCACAACCCCAACGCCACTAAAATACAAAAATTGGCTGGGCGTGATGGTGTGCACCTGTAATCTCAGCTACTTGGGAGGCTGAGACAAGAGAATAGCTTGAACCCAGGAGGCAGGGGTTCAGTGAGCCGCGATCGCCCGACTGCACTCCAGCCTGGGCAACAGAGTAAGACTGTCTTAAAATAAATAAAGACAATAAAATAAAATATCTTACAATCTAAATATCAGCTTTTAGTCTCCTGATGTACAATAGTAACTATTATACTTAAGGAAAGCTTTGATTTTCATTAAAACTCTGTAACAGCCATTACTGGCTAAAGAGGCATTACATTATCAGTTGTAGCTTTTCTCAAAAGGTAGTGCCACTAAAATAGAAAGTTTATAATAAATTATTGGTACATTATTTAGCTATTATCACTACCCACTATTATTAGATATCAACTGAATCCAGGGAAAAGAATGGCTAATGTCACATCCTGGTTGTGGAAGTTTTAAAGCATGTTTACAAATTCTTTGACATTCTTCCCATCAAGAGGTGGGATCTATATCACCTCCCACTGAATGTGGGCATATTTTAGCAACTCATTTACAACTAAAAAGGATGAAGTGAAGTGACACTATGTTACTTCCAAGGCTAGCTCAGAAAAGTCTCTACAGCTTCTACTCTTGGGCTGTTGGTCTGGGAGAAGTGAGTCACTATGTAAGACGTCCAACTTGAGACCACCATGCTGGAGAAACCACATGTGGTCATACTGATCAACAGCCAGCTGAGTTCCCAGTGGACAGCCAGCAACGACCATCAGCCCTGTGAGTGAGCCATCTTAGATCTCCATCACAGTTTGAAGCCCTCTGATGACAGCTGCAGCCAACAACGAACTGCAACCACATATTAACCCAAAGTGAGAACTGTCCGGATGCCTTTCCCACGTTCCTAAGTCATAAAACTGTGAGCAAAATGAAATGGTAATTTTAAGACATAAAGCTTTGGGCAAATTTGCTGCATAGCAAATTTGTAATTAGTAATGACAATCACGGTTTATCCACTTTATAGAAAGAACACTTAGACTAGCAGACAGAACAACTAGTAAGCAGTTTCAACTCCACCACTAACTAAAGGGCATTTACCAGCCTTAGTGAATCAGTTAATTCTCTGGAATTCAGATTTTTCATTCACAAATAAGAAAGACAAAGTGGGCCGGGCGCGGTGGCTCAAGCCTGTAATCCCAGCACTTTGGGAGGCCGAGGCGGGTGGATCACGAGGTCAAGAGATCGAGACCATCCTGGTCAACATGGTGAAACCCC